CCCACTCGCTTCACAGAGTCTTCCCCCAAATACTCTCCAGCTTATCAGGGTGGGGCTGGGAAGCTGATGTCCGGGTGAGTGCCAGCTCCCAAATCCCAGTGGGAACAGAAGGCCTCTCAGCAAAGCAGCTCCAGCTTAGAGCCACTGCCAACCATATCTGCAGCACAATCAAGCTGCAGAGGCAAAGCTGACATTTTTCTGAACAAAGGTTTAACCAGATCTCTCCACCAGGGAATGTTTTTTTTTTTTTTTAATGCTTTCCCTGCATGAAATACAAAAATTCCCTCCAAAGTGGGGAAACCCCCTCCCCCCGCCCCAAATTGGCCTATCTATCTCCCGCATTAGAAATTCTCTCTGTGATTGCTCCAACCGCTTCCCCCAGCCTGGCTGCCCTCTGATCCTAGGGACCTGGTGGGAGCCAGGCCAGCTGTGGCTTACGGAGAAAACACAGCTCTGCTTGGATTTCCTCCCTCCAGCCTCCCAGCCTCTTATGCCTTTTCAGACATATTGCTTAAAATCTGTACCTAGTTATTTACAACAAAACAGGCCTAAGGAGGGACCAGCTACATTCTAGCAGTTGTAATGTGAATTTTCAGGCCATACATAAGCCAGGTGGGGATGCCACTCCTAGATGGTTTCACCACAAGGAAACGGCCATGGCTCGCTTTCACTCTGTGGCGGAGATGCTAGTGCCAGTCAAAGCCTATTTCTCTTCCAACAAGCAGCAGCCAGCAGAGCCTGTCACCCAATGCAAGCTGAGAAAGGCTTCCTAACAAAGATATCAGAAATATCCTAACAGAGTGCTTCAGGACCATGCAGATTAGTAACCAAACAAACAGCCTCACAGACACAAACAAACCCTACATCCGAATGGAGGAATTGGGAAATATGCACTTTTAAAGACCCCAGAATATTTGTTTGTCCCTGAGTCCATGCTGTAGTTTCCCTCTACACAATTAAAAAAAAAAAAACATTAAAAACTCAACCTAGTCATTTAAGCAGGACATCAGCACAAGACCCTCCCTGCCAGCCACTGCTGTGTTTGCTTAAAATTCCCACTGGGAGTATCACACAGCTAATAACAAATTGAAAATACCGAATGCAAAATACTAAAAAACAAAAACCCAACACCTCAGAACAATCCACTGAACATCCACTCTGGGTTTTAAAATATTTACACATGCACATATGTGCACACACAAATAAGTTCTCAGTTTTAAGCACCTTTCATTAGTTTTAAGATACAAGGAGACGCATATAACCTTAGCATAAAGGGTTTTTCTTGATCTTACAACACTAGGGCAAGAGATTTGGTATCAGACCAGTTCTTCTAGTGATCATTATTCTATAGGACAGCAGCATTGCAAATCTTCCGCAAAGCACAGTTCAAACACATCTCTGCAACAGTATAAGAAGTGTTGGTCACACTTTATAATAGGTGCATTAATATTCACTTTGTACAGGATTAATAAGTGATTAATAGATGTTAATACATGAGCACGTTTCCAAACAATAAAGAGGGGGTACCATAGGAGCCTATATACCAGGGTAAGAGCACTCCAACAACCTGTGGGATTCGACAGCTCAGGATTAACCTCCTAATTAAAACATTATTAATAATTTATTAACCCTTTATAAACATATTCTTGATATAAAGTGTGATAATAGTTCTGCTTTGTTTCCTGTGTTGGCTGGGAGTAGTGTGGTGAAGGATGTCTCAGACTGGCATGGAAAGAAGAAAGGAAAACAAAATACTTTGTATTCGCTTTCTAAAAATAGGACATAATAACAGCATTAGCCATTGGAAATGGATGATAGACGCAGGCATCTTGGCGGTCGGCAGCCATCCCAAGCAGAGCCACTGCTCCAGCAGTGCTCAGGGGACTCACCCAGCACCATCGAGCTCTTCAGGAGGTTTGCCAAGAATTTCAAATCCACCTGGTTCAAGAGGGATAAGAAGGAAAGCAGAGGATGGTTTTGAAGAGGGGTTTCTTGCTGGGGTGGTGTTCGCAAGCAGATAAGCAGACATGGGAAGCACAGGTTATGAACGATTTT